ATAGCAGTTTTGCTGCAAACAATGTTGAATGTATGTTTATCCAGACAATTGACTGTTGAAAGGGGCTCATTTGTGAGTGTACTGTAACTCTGAGTCAGAATGTTTTGTCTGCATGTGAAGGACCACCACAGGAAACATCGCCACGACAGAGGAGAATTCATTAATTTGCTCAGCAGCATTTTGACTTTGCATGCTTTTCCATTCATTAACTTTTAACAGTCAAATAACCCTGAAATTGATTTCCATTTCTCTGGGAACCCTTTGAAGTTTTTGCATCAGCCGATTCTTGCGTGAAGACACTTCAACCTCAGATAATTGCTCATCTGACAAGCATCTCAGGAGTGGATATTCTGGCGCATGCTCATGTTGCCTTTCTGCTTGCATTCTACACCAAGTACTGTCAATGAAACTGAAAATGTCAGTGAGAATCTCGCTGATTTTTTTCACTTGGCAAGATGCATGTATTCTGTAGTAGGGCTTCGTAAAGTAAGCAATCCCGAAGCGGAGACGCGCCCGAAAGACCAGGCCTCAATCTGCAGAGGTCACAGTTTCATTATTACAACACTGAAGGCAAAGTAAAGGTCCATTGTCGGTTCATCCCAGTGATCCATGCTATTTCACTACGTTTTGGAGAAAATGTCACTACTTCTTCAGTATCTCAATGCAGTGGAGGAATAATTACATTAAAATGAATTAAAAATAATAATTTGTATATAGTGCTTAAGGACTTTTTTAAATCCGTTTATTGTCTGGAACGACCTGAGAGCCATCAAACGATACGATTTTTTGTTTTTGCCTGAACTATTCCTTTAATAATCTCTTCAAATCTTATTTCCACGCTTGCTGGTGACACCGGTCCTCATGTTGGAAATCCAGACCCCTTGACGTTTGTTTATTCAAATCCCTCCACGCCGAATGCGTTTCATTCTTGCCATATTTTCCTCGACTGCAGGATGAGTCGCGCCACCCTTGATGGATATCCATGCGGATTGGGACGTGTGGGTGGGGGCATCGATTGTACCGCGGGCCCCCGACTGCAATCGTTTTCTTAAGATGCATGTCGCCCTCCCTTTCCTCTCATATCTAAACCTATTCCTGAGGAGTGATTTAGGAGATAAATACAACCTAAGAGTTGTCATGGTGATTTAGATTTGGGAGGTGGCGATAAGACGGTGCTTCTGAGGCAGAGGAGGGCGCAGACAAAGACAAAGAGGAGGGTGAGAGACACCGAGTGTAAGAACACGGGATACCGCTGCTGGAGGGCATGATAATGTGTAGAAACCCACTTGATTAGTTTGTAAAACGAAACTGCGAGACAAATGGTGATAGCACATTATAGGTCTAGAGTGAGAATGGGTTTGTGTGTGCGGAGTGTGGGAACGACTTGACATGAAGAAAAGGGTTGGATAAACAGAAGCCGTCTAAGAATGTGCTTTTGAATAAGTCCCGTCGACTTTAGTGGCGTATTTATTAGAAAGACGCATTTAAAAATGCCCTTCCTTTACCCGAGAGTGAAGCGCTCAACTACAACGAATAAATGTGTGGATCCCTGATAAGATTCATCAACAATAGAGCGAAAGACACCTGAGATCAAGAGCGTATGCGCTCATTCAGATAGATTATACATCTTCAAAGATTGACAATCATAATGTAAACCGTCTCAAGGGCAGTCGATGAATCACTAAGAGAAAGACAAATATAGCCTTGAACCAAACCCTGCAAAAGCCAAACCCAATAGACTAATGAACACAAGCCTGTCAATCCAATCATAGCCTGACCTGAGCTTTAGGAAGACTGACTCGGGTCCCCCGGGATTGACTGTGATAAAGGCAGGCGAAATAATATGAAGAAAAAGAAAACACATATAGAGGGTCGGTTCCAAAACCGACTGCCTTGGAGTCAAAGGGAATGTCACTTATTGCTTGTTATGCAACTCATTATGCAGACTTTATGGAAAGTATAGCTTGAAGGGATGGTTCAAACCAAAATGAAAATTCTGTCATTAATTACTCGCCCTCATGTCCTTCAAAATCCATAAGATTTTCATTCATCTCCGTAAGCCAAATAAGATCTTTTTAATAAAATCTGAGTGCTTTCGGTCCCTCCATTGACATACGCAACTTTGACGCTTCAAAATGTTCATAAAGAGATCGTAAAACTAATATAGATCGAGCGGTTTAGTCCAAATTTTCTGAAGAGACACAATCACTTTATATGACATTGAATTTAGGCTTTTATTCACATATGAACATTCATCAACTCGCACATAATTTGTGGTAAATGGAAACTCAAGCGAATGAACCCAATGAGGTTCAATCTCGTGTCACGCGGCACGTTTGAGCTTCAGCGAGAACCAATGAGGTTCAATCTCGTGGTAAGCATCACTTTTGAGCTTCAGCAAGAACCAATGAGGTTCAATCTCGTGGTAAGCATCACTTTTGAGCTTCAGCAAGAACCAATGAGGTTCAATCTCGTGGTAAGCATCACTTTTGAGCTTCAGCGAGAACCAATGAGGTTCAATCTCGTGGTAAGCATCACTTTTGAGCTTCAGCAAGAACCAATGAGGTTCAATCTCGTGTTACGCGGCACGTTTGAGCTTCAGCAAGAACCAATGAGGTTCATTCTCGTGTTACGCGGCACGTTTGAGCTTCAGCGAGAACCAATGAGGTTCATTCTCGTGTTACGCGGCACGTTTGAGCTTCAGCGAGAACCAATGAGGTTCATTCTCGTGTTACGCGGCACGTTTGAGCTTAAGCAAGAACCAATGAGGTTCAATCTCGTGGTAAGCATCACTTTTGAGCTTCAGCGAGAACCAATGAGGTTCAATCTCGTGTTACGCGGCACGTTTGAGCTTCAGCGAGAACCAATGAGGTTCAATCTCGTGGTAAGCATCACTTTTGAGCTTCAGCGAGAATCAATGAGGTTCATTCTCATGTTACACGGCACGTTTGAGCTTCTGCGAGAACCAATGAGGTTCATTCTCGTATTACGAACATTCCAATTTTCACAAAGTATCAATATTTTTTTGGAATTCTCATGTGGCCAATGGAAAACAAAATGCACTGTTTGTCATAGCAACGGCCCACGACGGCAACACCAAGTAACACAAGTTCTATCAATTTATAAAAATATTTTATTATACATGAATCATTTTTCAGTATTTAATGAAATATACAGTATTTAGAATAATTTCTCTTGATTCTAGCTGCCATCTTGGATGGATTTGATTTATCGCAATGCATTTTTGCCCTTTTGTTGAAGGATGTGTATTGTTTCCTTACAATTTGTCCAGGACGAGACTTAGAAGGCAATCGGAACAGCCTTCATGCCCGGAGCGCACCTGTGATGGAGACAGCTCTCTTGTTCTTGGAACAGAGCTTTATAGTGACTGATGGAGTGGGTGGACAGTTACCAGCATCTGTGTGGCTCAGGTAACCACTGCTTTTCGCTCACAGTGATGAATATTTCAGAATGATTGTCTGGTCGTGCATAAACATTATCGTTTCACTGAGTGATTCTTGTACACTGATACGTCTGCTGACTTCTATTTCTTGTTACTAGTGCTACTTATTTTAGTAACTAGTAAAATGGACTAACTTTATAAATCTAAATCTAGAATCCAAAAATGTATTTTTTAATAATTGGGTCAGTAAACATGTACCCACAAACGCACAACATACCATTATAGCATTGTGACAGCAAATTTTTTTAGTTTCTTTTAACAAAATAGAAAACTAGCGTGAGCTTCAAATGGGTATGCAAAATACACATATTCATATCACACCACAAGCACTTTGTTCCAGGAATGCTCCTAAAAGTCAAAGGTTTAGACATAAATGTTTTAACAGACATCAATTATTTATGGGTTTAGAATGCCTTCCTTGAAATATTGATCCGAAAGGCAACATTCAATACAATAAATCTTTGTAGGCGGATTTAGAAATGGTCACATTAATACTGTGACACCTCCACAGCCAGTAGTGAGATCGATTTCTAAATGTAGAAATCTTAGTATGTACATTTTCTTTTTAAATGCCAGTCACAATGCCTTTTCTAGATGAAAATTAGTTTGAACATAAATGTTTGCATAAATGAACATAAAAGTTAATTTGGAGTGATTTAGGCATCAAAAAGCAACACTGTGAATTGAAAACTTTTACAGGTTTATAGATGAGTATCACTAAAACAGCAGCCCATTCTCACTCCCAAGGCGTCACCTAACTGACGCCTTGGGAAGCATTTGGACATGCTTCAATATCTGACGCTTTAGGCGCCCTTTAGCGTCAGTTAAATGACGCCCTAGGATCGCGTGTACCCTACCCCCACCCCACACCTAAACCTAACCGCGTCCTCTAACAGACGCTTTCCTTTAGCGTCAGTTAGAGGACGCATTAGGATCGCGTCATGTAAGTGACGCTAAAGGGCGCCTAAAACGTCAAATATTGAAGCATGGTCAAAGGTGACGCCTTGGGGTGAGAATGCGTTGAAAACAGATGGTTTGAAACGCAGAACTCGTACAAACACTTAGTAACGAACAGTGAATATATATAAACATAGAAATTCTCTCTCTCTCTCTCTCACACACACGAATGGACAGTTTGGAAAAACATAAGGGCGAGTTTTCACATACTGTATATGGGCGACTCTCCAAATAAAGAAAAAAAAACATGATGATTTTGTTGCACTTCTATGACATTAAAGCACATTACTCACCAAGTCCTCATTAACTTTATCGAAATGTCATTTTATGTTAGAGTGAAATATGACTCGTGCATTATTAAGTTCTGCGCTTAGGATCACAGTAAGAACAGTTCATGAACCTTGTGGAGGGAGTTTGAACCAACAATGTTTGGGTAACCCTTCTCATGTCTATTTTCACGGAGGCTATTTTAACCATAAATCGCGTCAGCAGCTGATTCACTCTTCATTTGAGGTGATGTTCCAGTGCTGGCCAATAGCCACGTCCACATCCACGAGCTCCGAACGCAGGAAAGTTTGTGCGTAAAGGAGGCGGCGCGGCGCCATGACTCACTCACTGTCACCTCCTCTGAGAAATACTAATGTCCCGGAGACCCTTGCGCTCAACCGTGCGTGTGGAAACACAGAACTGCACTTGACTCGCTGAACTTGGGCTCTGCAGCTGTTTCCACACAGCGATGACAGCGACGAGCCGGAGACGCGGTGCGCGTCCATCTACTCAAACACCTCCGGATCGAGTCCTCGCGTTCGCTGACACTCTGCTGAGGTGAGTGCCCATTCAATCGCACAACTGCTGGACTGTATTGAACAGGGATTCGTTATGCATCACACAGTAGGAAGGCTATTTTCCCGTTCACAAACTTCGTGTGATGTAACGAAGGCAGATGTGCGCTGGGGTGAGTCTACAGGTTGCTTCTGATAACTTCACAAATATGCTGCCGCTTTCAGTTCGCGCTCTTGAGATGAGGGATTGAGCGCGTTTGCTTGTTTAACGGATACATTGGTGCATACTGATGTAATGCATCGATCAGCCGTGTTCCAGAGATTTCTGCATCCTCTCCAGCTGTCAGAATGATTTATGCATGATGGGCAAAATGAAAAGGATACTCTTGTTGTTTTGCAAAAACGTTGTGATCGTAAAGCGGAATTCTTCTCAAAAACAAACTGTTGAATATGAAAATGTGAACTATGGTGGTATGCATATTCTGAAAAGAAGGACACACACACATAAAGGAGCTGTTGCTTTTCATTTAGGGACAATAAGCAGGACAATTATAGCTCAAATCAGAGCAGATGGTTAACGCTTAATTAGATTGTGTTCTAATGCGTTTCGGATTTTATTAATTATTAACAATTCTTGTTTTATAATAAGATATGCTTTTGTTTCAACATTAAGGTTGTCTCACACATTGTGTTTTCATGTTTTATGGGGACTTTCCATCTACACACACACGCACGCACACAATTTAAATAAGCCAGTGAAGCAATTAAAAGATGATTACACATGGGAAGAAACTTATATTTCATTATAAGACATTTAAAAAAAAATAATCAATTGGCAATTACCACCGCACACCTGTGATAGATACGTGCGGAAAAAAGGCCAAATGGGTAGGTCAAAAATAAATTAAAAACAAGGAACTCCTGCACACCTTCATCAGGCATTTTGATACTCATTTGATAGTGTGTGTGAGTTCCTTGTTTAAAAAAAAAAAAGTAATTCGCCAAATTTCCATTTCTCTCAGTCAGTCAGCAGAGATATGGCACTGCCCGCGTGCCCTCTTCACCCTCGCACTTTGAAGCTACATAAACACAGAGCCTGTCTTTTTGAAGCCTGTACATTAGTACGCTTCGACTGGCATTACCTTTCAGCGGCGAAGCCTAAATATTTGCCTCTCTTATGTAAAAGCAGGCAACCGTATCCATTCAGTTCACCAGTGGCATTGGCGATTACAGGAAGAGCGCTGCGGCTCCGGTTATTGCTCTCCCCTGCAGGCCTGTGATAAGTACTAGGCAAAAAAAGACCAATAATTGTGATTTTAATCTCAGTTGGAGTGAGTGTGGAGGGACCACAGAGCTCAAACTCAACGGATCGACTGTTTCCATGATGATGGAGACTCTCGGACCGCCCGCAGGCCGCCCTGATTTCTTCACAATCTGTTAATGAATGATAGAGACTCTTCTGAGGTTATCCTGTCAACATTTGGAGTATCTGCATTATCTGCAGTGACACCCATTTCAGGTCTTTGGGTCTCTACTAATAAGCAGGCGTTTGTTTAGGGAGACATCTGAAATGTGCACTTTTTTTGAAATTGGGGTACTTCTGAAGCATTCATATGCTTGATTTGTGTATGAAATATCTTGAAATGTATGCCATTCGGTCATGTGTCAGAGTGGTCACCGTGATTTTGCATGTTCCAGGATCAAATTTTGTTAAACCTGGAAGAACATTCCTGTTCCAAAAATGTATCTTAACCCTATCCCTAAACTTAAAGGAGTAGTTCACTTTTAAAAACACTTTTGCTGATAATTTACTCACCCCCATGTCATCCAAGATGTCCATGTCTTTCTTTCTTCAGTCGAAAAGAAAATAAGGATTTTAAAGAAAACATTCCAAGATTTTCTCCATATAATGGACTTCAATGGGAACCAAATGGTTCAAGGTCCAAATGAGAGTTTCAGTGCAGCTTCAAAGGGCTTTAAACAACACCAGACGATGAATAATGGTCTTATAGCGAAATGATCGCTCATTTAATAAATAAATAACAAAGTTTAAGTTTTATAAGCACAAATGCTCGCCTTGCTCTGTTCTGTGATTCGTGACTCTCCTGTTCAAACTCGTTCATCAAAATGAACAAATCTTTTTTCGAGTCATGACTCGAAGGGTCCTAGATAAGACTTGAAGCTGCACTGAAACTCTCCTTTGGACCTTGAACCGTTTGGACCCCATTGAAGTCCATTATATGGAGAAAATCTTGGAATGTTTTCATCAAAAATTTTAATTTCTTTTCGACTGAAGAAAGGAAGCCATGGACATCTTGGATGACATGCTGGCGAGTAAATTATCAGCAAAAGTTTTTTTTAAAGTGAACCAATACTTTAACATAAGTTATCCCTAAAATCAAAGGGGAAATTAATAACACAGATGTAGAAGCACCTAAACCAGTCAAAACTTGATATAACCTGTAAACTTGTCCCTCAGATCTGATTGGTTGATTGGATTGCTGTTCCAGGATCAACAAAGATGTTGATCATGGAATCAGTGAGGTTTGACTACTGAAAAAAAAACAGTAACACATTGAATGAAAAATTCAATTTTAAAATATTTTTTTACTGTGTAGTCTATGTATGCACACATTGATCATTGTTTTGATTTGAGTGATATTAATTAATTTCCTTTTTTGATTTTTTTTTTACTTCCAGTGCATGCAAAAGCACTTAAACCTTTAAAATATAATACAAAATAATACAGTATTTAAAAAATGAATATCAGAATATTATTTGTGTTCTGCAGATTAAAAGAAATGCTTAATACACTAAATGAATATGATCTAACATTGCTGAATCAACCTAAATACATTAATTTATACCAACAAACCTATTATTTATGGGTTAAATCAATAACCTGTCAATAATGGGGCGTAATTTGAGTGTTTGTGTTGTGTGACTTGTGCTTATTTGAGATTTTTTGATGTTGTTCAGCTATGTTGGTCCACTACTGTTGTTTTTACTGTGCTTTATAAATAAATTGCGTTGGAGAGAGATTACATTAAAGAATACTCGCTGGTCTCTCTTATATCTCTCAGATTTCTTTTGCTTGCTGAGGCGATGAGCTGTTTTGTCGAATCGATTCGACCATATGGGTGCCAGTCTGGCGAAGCTGAAGGTTTCATCCTGACGTTAGCTAGGATCATCTGCCTGTCAGTTTTATTTACGGTTTGCATGGCGGACCAAAACAACAAGTGCTTCAGTTGCGTCCCTCGCTATAGGTTAAATCTCGGAGTCTTGTCGATGCTCATTAATATGTATAAGTGAACTGATAGCAGCTCAGGAGAGGAGTGTGTAGCGCAGGCAGGAGGGCTGGTGTGCAGTGCAGCATGGCAGCTCAAAGCCATCCAGATGAGGCTCAGAACAGCTGGCCTGTCAGCATGGAGCTCCACTCGACACTCCGGTGAGGCCCAAATGTCAGACACCGGGTGATGTCGTGATGGGGAGATCAGAGGCCGTTGAATGAACGCTGCATTCCACAATCTCATTCCTCAGACTATTATTATCACGCTGAGTCTGGCTAAAAGGAAGGGATTCTGTTTCTCTCGCCTGTGTGGATAATAAGGCAGTTGCATTTAGCCAGAGGAACAGAGGAAATGAATGCCGGCAATGCACAAAGACGAGGAAGGGAGATAATAAGGGGATTTGTGTTAAAAATATACAGTATTTTTTAGGGCAACATGAATTCATTGTTGCGCGTGATTTATCCATGCATTTTTTCTATAGTCTTTCATCAAAATGCACTAACGCTCTCTGACAGTGAAGTTCTGTTGATGTAAGTCCAGGAGGGTGGGAAAAATATAATCAATCTTTTCAGAGCACAACATGCACTGAGAAGTGAAATCCTGATCTTCTTAATGCCTACATTAGGATATGATTTTTCTGTAGGCATAGAATACCTTGATGTGCCAAAAAGTTGCATTGTGGGATGTTGTATCCCACAACGCAATGCGCTTGAATAGAGAGTGAGACCCCATTTACACCTGGTATTAAAATGCGATCTGTATCCAGATAAGTTATCCGGATAATAAAAAAACGCATGTTAATGCAAGGCGTAAATGCGTTGTGATCGGATCTTTACTAGGTGTAAACGCAATCTGGTTTGTTGAAACCACATATGTATATTTTACTCCTCCCAAAAATGCTAAAAAATAAACGAGTGAGAGCGTGTTATATAGGCTATATGTCATGTTATAGCCTAGTCAGATGCGACACGCATCACCGCAGATGAGCGTCTATTCAACGTGCAAACATCGCAAATAAAAGTGAAAGTAAGTCAAGTTAACACATCTTCAAGTAAAGAAACGAAATGATCTTACCAGGCCTGTTGCCACTCTCTCTTACTGATGTCTTTGATTTGGAAATTAGCTGATGATCAACAAAATGCAGCTCATATCTGTTGCTTTTGGTGGCGTGCAATCCATTAAATCTGCATATAACGCGGGAGTTGAAGATCGGATTTATATCCGTTTTGCAAAAACACATTTATGTGGCCAGGTGTAAATGGAATCGGTACTTATTATCCGGATAACTTATCTGGATACAGATCGCATTTTAATACCAGGTGTAAATGGGGTCTGAGGAACAGACCAGAAGTAGAATCCATGATTTTAAACAACTCACTATTTGATCTGAATGCTAAGACTTTGAAATTAATTTTTGGTATGTTTTAGCTTACCTCAAGGGCATCCAAGATGTTTGTTTCCGTAGTAGTTTCAATTTTGATATTTTTAGCTCAAACCGTTCGTGTCTGTCAGTCATATAATGCAGGTCTATGGTCACCACCTCAAAGAGCATGCACAGAGAAGTCCAAATTAAACATGATTTAATGACTCGTAAATGTAAGTACACATCGATGGCCTAAGACACGAAACGAGCGGTTTGTGTGAGAAAACAAACAGTATTTATATCGTTTTACCTCTACAGCCACGTCCAAGTGATCTGAGGGCGCGGGCGCTTTGGGGCTGTGCTACCAAGAGGTAAAAACGATATAAATACTGTTTTCTCACACAAACCGCTCGTTTCGTGTCTTAGGCCATCAGTGTGTGCTTACATTTACGAGTCATTAAATCATGTTTAATTTGGACTTCTCTGTGCATGCTCTTTGAGGTGGTGACCATAGACCTCCATTATATGACTGATAGACAAGAACGGTTTGACCTAAAAATATCAAAATTGAAAAATGCCCTTGAAGCTAAAACATACCAAAAACTAATTTTAAAGTGAACAATCCCTTTAATGGGTTTGCGCTAAAGTGCAATAGTTAAACAGAATACAAAAGTGTTAATCCACAAACCGGTCAAGTGTTGCAGTGTTTGTGTGTTTTCTAAAACGCAGGTCACAGTCGAGAACAGCGGGAGTATTTTCGTGTCCTAACACCTCAGCAGTGTCCAGCCCGCAGCGAGAGTCACCTCTGTGCCTCATTAGGCTGGAAACCAGATCAATATTCTGACTAATGTCGGAAACGCGAGCATCTGAGTAGGAGTGTTAAGCTTGTGTGCATTTCTCCTCAAAGTTAATTGATAGAGTCACAAACGGATGGTAGGCGATCTCATTAGAAGTAATTAGAGTCAGTTTGGAAAAAAATAGCATCGTAATGAAAAAGATCAGTTTAAAATGAAGCACGGTTTATGATCAGTGGTTTGCCGCATGTGTGCACTGTCACAGCTTTGCATAGCTGAATTTATTCTGACATCATTATAAATAGAGATGGCAAAAAATATTAATTTTCCTGTCGGTCCGATTCTGCTCATGCGTTCGGCAGAACACTGGTTATGGTAGAAGAAAGGCAGAACAGAACAGAGGATTTTAATTTCTAAAGGTCAGGAAGCCAGAAATCTTTTAGAGGAAACAAAGCAATACATCTTTGTCGACAGACCGAAAAAATGAAAGAAAACGGATTTGGTTGTGCAGTGGAGGGATTTTCCTGAATTCAAGAGATATTTGAATGTTATTACATATGTTTTCTTAACTTACTAAGCCTTTTCTGAGTCTTATGGCAAGCAGCAAGAATTGGCTTGATTAAAGTGGGAATTAGAGAGCATGAAAACGCCAAACATAAAAACATTCTCTGATTTTGAGGTAGTCTTTGTTTTTGCCCAGTGGGTGTAGGTTTTTTTCCCCTCATCTGTTAGGTACAAAATAAAATTGTTGCCGTTTCGGTTCGCTCTGAACTGGCCAGTCTCACAGGACACAATCTTGTTAAACCCCCGTGAAAGGTTGTTTCCTCCATCTGTGGCTTCCTTCGCTCAGAGACAATCTGAAACTCGCTTTTCATTTTCACAGCCTTGTGTTTATGCGTGCGCTCTTGCAAACTAATTTAACTGAAAACTTGTGTGGATTTTAAATATTGATCGAACAAGTTGTTGGAAGCTTATGGTGATGTTGTCCAAGTCATGCATTTATTTGCAAAAAAAAAAAATTTTACCTCCGGTGATTGTATTTAGGCTTCAAAAAAAGAAGATTATCTTGATGAATCATAAACTTTCCTGGTCTCAAAGCTTATTATCAAAAGGTCAATGGAAAAATACTAATGGCTTTTTACAAGGGAACCAGGTTGATGCTATTGCTAACTTCTGGGTTTGCCTACAAAAATGTGTCACATGCATCTTGGCATATTTTCCAGTTTTTCTCAGGCTGTTTGGTACTTAAAGACTTCTGTAAGAAAATGATCTTTATTATGATTGCACTAATGCACACTTGTTCACGATGGGCCAAGTCACTGAATATTAAAGCAACACCAAGTAACTTTTCCTCAACGGTCGCCCAACAGGTTGGAAGCGGAATTTTGCATTACCGCTGTCGTAAATAATTTAGCCGACTGTCGCATGCATGCTCGTTGTTTCGTGAAAGAAACGAAGAAAAACAAAATAATGACTATTGTAACGCTTGACGTAAAGTAAGTCAAATTTGTAGTTTTCTTATGTCTCATTAGAACTACAGAAATCTTACAATTGGCAATCTTGCACATCGTAGTTATAGCAGATATAGGACCGCAAAGCCTTTCACCCTGTTATGACTTAAAGTCCCTGTAAAGGCAATCCTACAAAAAAAATTCTAAACACATTTTGGGCCCTATTTTAACGATCTGGAACACAAGTGTCAAAGAGCAAGTCATTTTCCCTAATTTTCCCTGTTGCTTTTTTTCCCGCCAGGATAAATGCCTGATTAGGAAGAAATGATTAGAAGAAAAGGTTCTATATAGAACCTTAAAAGGTTCTATTAGCGCTACGTATTTGGAACCCCTAAAAGGTTCAATACACTCTTAAAAAAAAAGGTTCCTCTGGGTTCTATATAGAACCCTGGGGTTCCATACTTGGCCAATAGAACCTTTTACCAAAAAAAATGGTTCTATATAGAACCATTTTGGAGTTCCATATATGAATCGGGGGATGGAACCATTTCTGGTTCCAAATAGAACCATTTCTTCTAAGAGTGTAGCTTCATTATTCATAGGTGTGGTTTGGGCGTAACATGATATAAACCAATAAGAGCGTCATATCACATTCCCTTTAAGAGCGTGATGAACGAGGTGTGCTTGTTCCACGGCGCAATACTATTATAACGGCGCATTTACCAGGCGTGCTTCAGCATCGGTTCACAGCCAAGGAGATCGATGTTCTCGTCAGGGCCGTAAAAGAAAGAGAAGTGACATTGGGGACGGGACAAACACACCCAAATTAGCTTCGGTTAAACATATAATTAGGGTAAACGTGTAAGCTTCTATTTTTCCCATTGTCATGGACACAACAATGATTTCCCTCGTGTTTTAATAGTTTTCCTTATAATAATGTATCAATTGCAAAAAGTAAAATGCATCTGTGTGGATGAGAGAATCATCTACAGAGTATGTGCGTTGTTCACACTGGCCAAGCATGCACAATTAAAGGGCACATATCATGCAAAATCCACTTTTTTAGCCCTTAAAAGCATTTTGTTGTATATTTGGAGTGTTTATAAGTACAGAAAAGATGAAATTATTCTCTTCGGGTGCTTCGTTTATATCTTTATATTCTGTTTTGGTCGTATTTTTTAACCTGTTCAGATTTTTCTGTTTTCTATTACGTTTTTTGAACAATTACGTCACAGTATTTGCAGTATCCGCCATTATTATTTCTCGCTCCGATTTTGTAGTCCAAGCTGAGGGCTAGACAAAATGTTCGGTTTTTGGATGTAGTGACCTGAAGCTTAGCTGCTGTGTTTTCTGACGCTAAACGTTAAGTTATCATATTATTATCAATACAGATTTTTAGTGGTAAGATCAGACCGCAGTCATTTATCTTGTCAGTGTGCTTGTTTTAACAAGAGAAATAGTCGACTTTCACTAATAACGCAACATAGTTAACTAACTTACATACCACTGCATCCATATGAAGACGTTGATTTTGCAGGTTCGTCGTCGTCTTTACCAACTCGCTCGCTCTGGCTCGAATATGTAAGGCTTGATGGACAAGTCTTCCGTTGTTGACATTTTGTTAACGTGTGAATAAAAATGTTCTTTGAAGCTATAGTAATCGTATATCTCTTATCAAACTACAAAAATGGCCGAACGCGGGGAGTTGAACCGACCGTGAACTCATCGACCTGGAGAGCGGGCGGGGAAAGACGCAACTCCTTTTTATTTAAAGGGGCCGCTTCGAAACGACTTGCTCACAGACGCACATCAGAAAAGTGGTAGAAAAGGGGCCTGTGGAGCTATAATAATGAGGAATTCAGACCCAAGCATTGCAGTTATGCTTTATATAGACCACAAATGTATGATTTATAAGTAAAAATGAATGATTTAAAAGCATGATATGTACCCTTTAAAATAGCATCTGAAAGTACTATTTTAAGGTAAAAAAATCTGGTGTTAAAACAGTATGTAAATGTGGGTGTTCATATGTTAATGAGCTCATTGTTTAACACATCATGTTAAACTGTTGCAGTTCAGCTTCAATAAAACATCTGGATGAGCTGAAACGAGTGGTTTGCATTGTGAATGTTATGACTGCATACTCTTTTATTCCACTCAAAAAAATGAAATGTCGTATTTGCACTGCTTTGTCAATATATGCTATTTGTCTTGTACTGCCAAGGAAAACGTTATTTGATTTTGTGTTTGACATCATGAATCATTTCAGGAGAAACATACAAATAAAAGCATTTGTTTTGGTGAGGATCTCTCACGGAGAGAAATCCATTTGCAGGTCCTTTATCAGAGAAATGTGAATTAATGAATCTATATATCATCCACCGGAACTGGTTCATAATTTTATGCCAAACGATTGCACACTTCATTATAATGCATGAGTAATGGCTTAAAAGTTCTGTCTGATTAATGAATCCACTTAATTGATAAAACTTTCCCTCTCTGCTTTTCAGGGTTCAACGGTGTTCAAACCAAATCAGCATGGATGCTTACGAGTTACGACCAAATCTATTCTGATTGAAGCTGTTCACCTAAAATTTGGGTGACTCACCAAGAACTGCTCTCCAGCTAAAAATACTCCTCGGCACATGCCAAAGTGCTTTTAGCTTTGTCCTTGCTTTCCGCTTGGTGACACCAGCCAGACTTTCAGTGTGAATCTACGAGTGGCCGTCAGAACCATGCGGACGGTTCCCAACCATCGCAGATGTGCACAAACAAGCCTTTCCTCACATTTACAGTGCTTTATGAACGACTTGCAGAGCATTTTGACACCTTCAAACATCGATGCATCAAACCTGAGGCCTGGAAAGCACAATGCCATTCGTGTCATTTTCATTGTTCTGTAAGATGTTGCAGCTGCACATGGTTATGAACATGTCAAAACATCCTTCCAGTTTATGACTTTATGACAAAAGAATCTGATGTTCTCCTCAGCATAATATGTTTAGTTCCCCCTTTGTTTGTTTTTTTACCCACTGCGATTTTCCACGAATCATTAAAAGCTCATCTAGGGCATTGAGAAATGAGACAGCATAAATTTCATCAAGTTCCCTCACAGCTCTACTGGAAATGCTTTGATTTTCTTGTACCGCAGCCAATGCAGTAGTACTGTTTTTTTTGTGTTTTTTTTGGAGAGAATCCGATATTAAGGTGCAAACTGAGCTGGGTGCCACGTGGCTCACAATCAGACCACTATTAAATGCCTGGAAGTCTTGAACAGATGGTTCCCCTCAAAGACAACATGACCCCTGAGTCATTCTCCGAGAACTGTACCAACTGCAGCCAAGTCATCGGCCCGGAGCTGAACGTCATGAAAGCCGTGGTTCTGGGAACGGTGTTGGGGGTCTTCATCGTTTTTGGCGTTTTGGGCAACATCCTGGTTATCCTCTCTGTGGCTTGCCACCGTAATCTACGCACGGTTACGCATTACTTCATCGTGAACTTGGCGGTCGCGGACCTTCTGCTAAGCTCCACGGTTCTTCCCTTCTCCACAGTCTTTGAGATGCTGGGTCGTTGGGTCTTCGGACGGACTTTTTGTGATGTCTGGGCGGCCATGGACGTCCTGTGCTGTACGGCGTCCATCATGAGCTTGTGCGTGATCTCGGTGGACCGCTATATTGGCGTTAGCTATCCTTTGCAGTACCCGTCCATCATGACGGAGCGACGGGCGTTGCTTGCACTCATTGTTCTGTGGGCTCTATCAATCACCATCTCCATTGGACCTCTCTTCGGCTGGAAGGAACCGGCGCCAGAGGACGAATCCATATGCAAGATAACCGAGGAACCCGGCTACGCCATCTTCTCCGCGTTGGGGTCATTCTACCTTCCAATGGTGGTGATTCTGTCAATGTATTGCCGCGTGTACGTGGTCGCAAAGAGGGAGACTCGAGGACTGATTAGTGGACAAAAAACGGAAAAGTCTGATCACGCCACCGAGGCCGTCACCTTGCGGATACACAGAGGGAACGCGACGGTGTCCGAGGACGAGGCTTTGCGCAACCGGACAAACTTCACGCTGCGTCTGCTCAAGTTCTCGCGGGAAAAAAAGGCCGCTAAGACGCTGGGCATCGTTGTTGGATGCTTTATCCTTTGTTGGCTGCCGTTTTTCCTGGTTCTTCCGATCAGTAAGTGTCTCATTTTTCACATTTGATTATAGAGAAATACTAGCTTTTAGATAGCTTTGACTGATGAAAATCTAAGCCAAAAAGGTTTGACACAAAGTGATTTTTGCCTGTAAAAATAGGGAGTCCTATCTTTCAGTTAAGGATCATTCTACAAAATAAACAAATCTTCTTTTTCCCTTTTTCTTACTAACATTAAACAATGTCACACCAATGACGTTTAAATATTTTTTTATTTTTTTTTATTTATCCTTTATTTAACCAGGTGAAAAACTCATTGAGATTAAAAATCTCTTTTACAAGAGAGACCTGGCCAAGATGCAGCATAAAATTTCAAATATATAAAAACAAATAAAAAACAAATAAACCAAATGAAAAATAAATTCAATGTAAATTAGTAACATTTGTGCAAAAAAAACCCACCCGTGCACCGTTTAAACAGCCCATTCCCTTTTCTGAACTTTGACATTGTAAGTATTTTTCCACAGCTTTTGTATTTTTCAAAACACGTTGATAAAATCATTGAAAAAAAGTGACCATTTTCTTTAAAAATAATTGATATTATAATTATTTTGCTTTTAACACATAGTGTGAAACAATATAGAGTGAAATTATTGAATGAGCCATTTTATATTGCAATCGTTCTTCACTATTTGTGAACGTTTGTCACCATATTTTTAGAATGACCGTTAAAAGAGCCATTAGACTGTTTGGCAAAAGCAAAATGTGTATTGTCCGGAAGAATTATGAAATAAGTTTTGTCTGATTGTATTGCCAATTTTGAATTGAGTTATTGAAATATAAGCATGGCAAAGTTTAAAGGGGTGGGTCAGAATTTTAGACATTGGGCCACATTTCCAAATTAGCCTTAGTGTTATTCATCAGTGGAGACAGTTTTCACTAATTTTCATGCAGTCGTTCCAGTTACATAGTTGTCTGGTGCTAGGCTAGCGCGAGTCAACGGTAACCATTAAAAACAGTTTTACCCGCTCCACAGTTCACCAAAAGCAAATAAACTATAACGCCAGACTATCGATGTAAATGTCTGTTGAGAGAATAATGTTAGAAATCAAACTACCCTTTCGTTATTTTCGTTATTGGGCATTTAAACCATGCCCAATTGGTACTAAAGTGTGCCAAGAAAACATCCCCCACACCATTACACCACCACCACCAGCCTGCACAGTGGTAAAGGCATGATGGATCCATGTTCTCATTCTGTTTACGCCAAATTCTGACTCTACCATCTGATTGAATGTCTCAACAGAAAATCACTCACAGAGACTCATCAGACCAGGCAACATTTTTCCAGTATTCATAACTTGCGACCATAGTTGGCTAACGATGCTTTCGGGAAACGTACCCCAGATTGATAGGAGTTATAATGATATAAGATGGCACCAAGTGAACCAACTAACCCCAAAAAGGACTTTGTCAGTGGACAGTGCAGTTTAAATTACTTTAAGATTGAAGATCATTAAAAGAAGAAGTTTCAGATAACTCTGAGCTTTCTCTTTGCATTGAGTGAAATATCTGGTCTGTATGTGGGATTTTTTTACGCTTTTTCCAGATATGCACAGGGACATTTTTTAGGTTTCCTGTCTGAAATTCAGATGCACTGAGATTTTTCCAAGTGTCAGAAGATGGGAAAATAATTGCCTCAAGTGGGTAAACTGCTGCCATGTGGAGAATGGAGAAGATCAGGAAAATATTTGAGCCTGTATACAGGTTGAAAGAATCAACTCGCTGGTGTTTATTATGCCAGTGGTTTAAAAGATGTTATTTTAAACCTTCATTTAGATCGTTCTCTCAGACAATAGGGTCATGAGTGTTTACACAATATGTTCGGCAACAGAAATGAGTTTCACAGAGAGTCAGAAGGATCAGTAATTGAGCTTCTCGGTTTCCCCAGATATGAATTTTAGCAGTTATTATATTTCCCACCCCTGCAATAGGGCTCTTGTGAGACCTTTCGGTTCAAGGTCAGTCCGAGTTAAACCACAAAATAATGTCGGTTAGGAAAAAAAACAAAACAACAACAACGAATCCAGTAAATGGTATTATTGGAAAGCCAATGCAAACAAATAAGCATATAGTTTTATGAATCTGTGGTAAACGTGGGAGTCTGTTAAAGAAACAAAAATGGATATCGATTTGTAAGAAACACGATTCTGAAATGCTTGCTAATTAACTGGCACTAAATTGCATATAATAGAGTGTTTAATAAAGCTCAGGGGATTCAATGACCTTATCATCAGCATGACTCAGTCTGCGCTCAACCACATTTGTAGTAGCAGTGAAATCTAACACACTGCGTTCAATAGGAAAGTTGTTCGTTTAATGTTACGGTGATCGATGCGACTCATGTAGCATCTCACGGTGAAGCAGAGAGACATTCTGCATTCGTGATGAAGTCGCAGTTTAATCCGTGATAATTAAAAACAACGAGTTAATTGTTTTCCCAGTAAAGTAATTGCATGCTATTTTCATCACAGAACCCACTGGACGCCCCGGGGAGAAAGATTTCATATGCTCTGAGGTGAAAACATAGTATATTATCAGGGGGATTTTGCTGACAAACGTGGGTATTAGGATGACGGATTCGCCCTTCGGGCAGACATTCTTCCTTTTAAATCTTCTCTCGATGCTTCCTATACAGTAGCAGCAGGGAAGAGAAAATTATTTTTATGCCTGGCTGCGTCTCAAGAGCATCCACTACATTAAAGTCAGTGTGATAATACTGCATGAACACAGTGACTTATATTATTATTGCGCATGCACAATAGTTATGGATTGTTCTGAAGGGTTAGGAGAAAAACCAAGCAACCACAAAGCATCAAAACACTGAGTTTTGCACGGGTATACACTCATTTTTAGGGCCTGAGCACTGGTGATGTGACGTGAGGAGGACCATATTGGAATTGCTCTGTTTATTTCTTATTATATATTATTAAATCGTTAAATCTTCTTCACGATATGCCAGTGCTATATCATTTAGATATTTACATTTTATTTAATGGCTTCCTCTATTTTTACATTTAGATTGCCTTTGGTGTCATAACTGGGATATTTTTAAATAGGTTTTATTTTTATATTTTCTGTCACCATTTTAATTGGAGTTAAAGTTTTAGTAATTTTGTTTTTTTTTAAATAAATGTCTATTTTTATTTCAGTTTTAGTTTCAGTTATGTTTGTCCATCAGATTAAACTAAATGTAAATGTGTAATGTTAAAAAAATTAAATGTTTTTAGTTGTAGTTTCAGTTAACTATAACTCTGCTTAATGGTAATTAAAAACACCAATATATGTTTTTAATTATATATATAAAAATGATCATTTATGTTTTTAATATATATATATATATATATATATATATATAATTATTTTATATAAAAATGTATTTTATTTATAAAATAATTTTATATAAAATATTAAATATTATTATAGATATATACATTTATATATATTTTTTATTTTTATATTTTCTGTCACCATTTTAATTTAAGTTAAAGTTTTAGTAATTTTGTTGTATTTATAAATTTCTATATAGTTTTTATTTATTTTTATTTCAGATTTAGTTTCAGTTATTTTGTCCATCAGATTAAACAAAATGAAATGTGAAATGTAAAAAAAATTCAAATGTTTTTAATTAACTATAACTCTGCTTAATGGTAATTAAAAACCATTAAGCAGAGTTATTAAAAACACCAATAATAATACAATATATATATATATATATATATATATATATATACACATACACACACACATACATATATATACACACATACATTTTAAATTGTGACGTAGCGTAAATAGTGTAAAACTTTATGCATCCCTAAAAAAAAATCTAGTTATTACATTTAAGTTGATATATAGTGTATTTATATAGGGAAATATACTGTATTTATAATATTACCAAATGGCAAGTATTTACGATTTATTAATTACCTTTTTTTTTCTTATGAATGTTTTTGATGCACCATTATAATAGGCCTGTATGCTTTTGCAATTGGAGTAAATATCAAAAATTACACAAACCGAAATGATAACAAGCTCTCTTAGAGACTTCTAGACTTGTGATCTATCTGCGTCAGACAGCATGAGTCAATCTTTAACATTGAATTCATGTCTGAAATTCTCACATGGCTTAAACTCTCTCTTTTCTCTCATCATTTGCCCTGACAAGGAACCATGGGGAATGAGGCAGGAGGTATAAACTACTCAGGCTGAAAAAAATGATATTGAAAACGAGCTCAGTCATCCTGTATTTTTGGAAGCATTTGCACAGTGCATGCGTAAGGTTTCAATAAATAATGGGCATCAGTATCTACTGTGGTTAATATTACATTGGAGCTAATATTAAAGAGCAGCGGTGGCTTGACATTAAGAAAAGCCCATGCAGGCAAACATTTTTATGTCTACAAGTTTTCGGATTATTCTCAAACAGTGGCATTTGTGTCTCCATGACTTATACTAATAAAATAACCAGGGTGCTAAAATAAGTCAAATTTTTGATAGATTTAACTTCAAGCCATACAAAAAGTGTGATTTTTTTTAGATTTTTTTAGATAAAATTATGACAATTCCACTTTCTCTGTGACATTTTTATTCAGATCTTTCAAACTAATATTCATAATATTTGAGGAAGTTATTTTATTTTATAAAATTGATCAGTGTTTCATTATGAGTATGTGTAAATTGCCCTTATCAAGCTCACCAGTTTGTTTATGTTTATGAAAAAAAAATAGTAATGAAAATTTTATTTTGGCCCAGAGTACAAAATATGGATTGACTAATGTTGTGTGGTGCAGTAATAAACACGTTCATAAGGCCTTTCATTATTGCACTGACTTCCAACCCGTTAACATTTTAAAATAAAACCACAATTGACTTGGTTATATATTGAAATGATTAATATGTGTAACAAACTTACTAGTGGAGTGTTTTAACCCAACTTTGGGTCAAATATGGACAAACCCAAACAATGGGTTAAAAATATAATTAAAAAAATGTAACCCAATGGCTGTGTTTGTCCATATTTGACCCAAAAAACAACCCAGCAATTTTTAGAGTGTAGTTTAACCCTGTAAAGCCTGACATATGAAACATTTGGATCATTTTATTAAACAAAATCAAAAGCTCTGTAGTTTTAAAACATATAATCTAATGCAATACAATCAGTGTTTCTCAAAAGCCTGGATCATATTTGATACTCACATTTTTCTCAAAAAATACTTGTGCCTGATGATATCAGTCTATGAGTCATCATTTGAAATCATAATTATTGGGAAAAACTGCAGAAATGCCCAGACACAAATGGCAGTTTCCCCAGAATATCCCAGTCAATTCCTGCACTGACTGCAACATACGGCCGTGTCAGAGGTCATTATGTGTTTACAGACATTTTTGACAACACCAGATAAGCCCAGCCGCCCTTTCTAATGATGACGAACCGCCGTTCCAGAAGTCAAGGACAGCGCTGCTATGCATATGCAATGTGATGCTTCAGCAGGACCTGGTGCTTGATTTAGCTTCAGATGAATGGTTGTTTCTTTCCATCCTCTCTGCCTCGGAAAGGGCTTTAAACCACACCTCAGTGCGCTGAGGACATCACTTTTAATGGAATCTGACCTGATAAACAGCCAATTTCATCGCTCAGGCTTTTTACGAGAGCCTTTAGTCGCACAGAAGGTCTCAAGATTTGACTCGAGGAAACACACTTTCCCAGGAGAAAGCGTTTGCGTTTCAGTCATAATCATCATGGGCTCGGACAAAATCGCTTTTGTTTTCTCATTTTAACTTCCTTCAATTTGACGCATCATTTAGTCAGATCCACTATTTATATTTCCACAAGTATCACTCGGGATAGAGCATCAGTCATTTAATTTTTCCATTTTCTTCTCTCTTTATACATTAAAACACATTGTGACTCCTGATCAGCAGTTCCGAATCTCACAAGACTAGAACATGACCAGGTTATATATATTTTTTTTTTTTTTTGAAAGAGAAATTCAAGTAAATTATAATTATGGTAATATCTATCTATCTATCTATCTATCTATCTGGCATTTTTAGGATCATTCATTTTCATAATTTTATATACAAATTGTCTTCCGACTATTGAACATGATACAAAAACATATTTAAGCATGACCATCATTTTACTCATTTTAATAGTAATACAACATTTTTAATAGTAATACAAATAAATATTTTTTAATAAAAAAAGACACACACACACACACACACATATATATATATATATATATATTAAAGTAAAAATTATAAATAGATGTATTTATTATGTAATTAATATGATTCTTCAAAATTTTATGATGAGCATTTATATTTTAAATGGTTTAATTGTCATGAAAATAATTTCACGAACCCAAAAGTGTTAATGGTCCTAAAAGTAGGCTTAATTTTCTTCATGCAAAATAAATAAACGTTTAATTTCGAGGTGAAATATGTAACGTTACTGGTCACTGTAAAAATGAGTACGGTTTATCTAATCAATAAAATTATGGCATCAGATTACATCAATATTATTAATTATATTGAAAAAATTAGGATTGAGTAATAATTAATCAAATTATTCCTTAAAAGTTAAACATTTAAAATGAGTAAAGTTTACACCAAAAAATTAAACAAAAATATCTGAATGACAGACAGTCGTTAAAGATTAATTGAGATCTATTTTGTATTGGCAACATTGAAGACACCTGATGTTAACAAGCAGAATCACTGAAGGAGAAACCTAAAACAAACACTGATCACCATAATGGTGACTTAAATGTACTTTTTTTTGTAAGTTATACTCATTTTAAATGGTTTACTTTTAAGGAATTAATTTGAATAATTATTACTCAATTCTAATTTGTTATTAATATTGAATTAATAATATTGCTTGTAATCTGTTGCTGCAATTTTTTTGATTAGATAAAGCGCATTCATTTTTACAGTGCAGATGACTGAGCCTCAGCCTAACCTCTTCCTCTCGTTTAACCTGCAGATAGTAATGATTGAACTGTGGCGTCCAGAGACTCTCCCCACAGCCTCGTCTGGCAGTCTCTCCTTTATCTTCCCCGCGTGTGTAAAAGCCCCTCTAGACTCGCTCTTAAAGTGTGTTACGAGACGCTCTGAAGACAGATGCTGTGTCTCAAGCCAGGTTTTGCTAGATGCTTTAATTCTTTTAATGGTACGGCCGACGTTGCATTAGAAAAATCCATTGGGTGTGTAAACGGTTAAATATATGCCCATGTCGCTCTCTTTTCTGTGTTCGTGCCCTTCATAACGCTAAACAATTCCTTTCCTCTGAAGGGTCCTTCTCTGATCATATTGAGCCGGATTTATGACGGCAATTTGAATAAAACTATTAACCTTGATTAACGGAGGAACGTTCCAGCGTGAGATCAGATCAGATTCTATAAAAAGACCTGGCCGGCATTGTGATGCATGACGTAGTTATCTGTCCTGTCACACGGAGACAGCGGCAGTGAGAAAGATGCTTTCAGAAATATTCACACGTTTTTCTCTTTTCCAGACCTAAGTTCTCTCATTTTCTGCTCCTTATCTTTTAATTTCAGGTCCCATTAATCTTTCTTTTTCACTGAGAGTGAAACTGCTGAAACCTTTTAATTTATCGATTGGTAATGCATTATGACCTGAATGCAGATGAATTTTACTGGATGTGGTCACATGCGCATATTACGCAGACAAAGACGTACCTGAGTCTACTCTTTAATCAGGGAACTGGTTTTACTTTGCATGCTTGTTTCTTCACGGCACAATATTTACATTTCAGATGATGCCTTCTCTCCATCTACCATATTGAGACACATAATCAATCCATGATCGATAAATATCGATGAATATGTATCATCACTTAGATACTGGAAGTATAAATTGACTTACAATGATGGTTAATATTTATCAGATTGTTTTATTGTTAATAAACACAATGATTGTACACTACTGTTCAAAAGTTTGGGTAGAGTGTAGAGTATGATATTTTTTAATTAAATTAACACTTTTATTCAGTAAGTATGCATTAAATTGTTCAAAAGTGATAGTAAAGACATTAATGGTAATACTTTACTTGAAGAGGTGTGCATAAGACTAACATGACACCTTCATAATCATGACATGACATACGTTATGAATATGATGTGGGGCATTGATTATGATTATGATATCATATGATTATGATGTTTTATGCATGTTTGTGACAACTGTCATTAAGTGTCATTCGCTCAGTTACAACATTTTTAATGCAAATATGACATTTGAGATGCCTTTGTTATGACACCTTGACATAAACCAATACATCATTATGACAACTTGACATTATTAAGCCAACACAACCTGTCATAAACATGACATAGCAGATTAATGATCAAACTTAAGAAAGCACCTAGCTTTATTGATTAACATTACATTAAACTGTCAGGTGGTTGGTTTTGACATTGGCTGTCATGAACCCATTATAACTCTTTAATGACAACAAATTCAATTAGTATCACTGTAGTTGAGGTCACGAAAAATATTCATGAGTCATGACACAGTTATAATGGCCTCATGACAGCCGATCTGTCAAAGCCGAAGACGAAAGACATCTTAACCCTCTGGGGTTCTTCGTTTAACAGTCACACTCGGGAACTTCGGGTCAAAATTGACCCAAAGAGCGGGAATCATATTTAAAAAAGAAAAGCATAATTTTTTTTTTAATACTTGTTTTTTATATTATTTTTTTCTTTTTTTCCTTTTCTTTTTTGGTGTTTTGAGAAAATTTCAGAAATACAAAAATTTATAATTAGTATTAATGCAATAATTATGACCAAATTTTCCCCCATTGAATATAATATAATTTTTTTTTTAAATATATATATATATTTTTAAGCTGTATTTCATTTTGGAGTCAAGCCTAGGCCTCATAAAAGCAATTTTTGAAATTAGATGGATGCCATCTCGTGGACAAACTGAGCTTTTTAAAAATGCAAAACACATGTATAATCAGAATTTTTTGTGTGTTTGTGTATAAAGGTGTGTGTGTGTGTGGATGTGTCCGTTTTGCACTCTTGATGTTTTATAGATTCACCCCTTCATTGTTGTGTGCTTTTTTCCAAGATCGATTTGTGATTGTACGCTCAAAAAAACTAGGAAATTTTCACATTTTTGCCAATTTTCCATTCATTTCCTATGCGGGTCATTTTTGACCCGAAGGTCCTGAGTGTGACTATTTTTTTTTTATGACCACTTAGACTTTTCAAATACTGTCCCCAATTTTTTGGGGGGTGTTTATATACCAAGTACCATTAAAGTCACCACGTTTCGGACCATTCCGATGAAGCTACGATTTTTAACATTTTTTTATTTAAACGCTTCGGGTCATTATTGACCCGAAAAACCCCATGGGGTTAAACAATGTCATATTTGAAAGACACTTGTCATGTCATGGTTACGAAGGTGTCATGTCAGTCATATGCACACCCCTTCAAGTAAAGTGTTAGCGATTTTATGATACCAGACTAAATTCCTTCTTCGTCTGTCTAGGTTCCATCTTCCCGACGTACAGACCCTCGGACACAGTCTTCAAGATAACGTTTTGGCTGGGCTATTTCAACAGCTGCATCAACCCCATAATCTACCCCTGTTCCAGTCAGGAGTTTAAGAAAGCGTTCCTGAGTGTTTTGGGAGCGCGCTGCCTCCGCAAGAGGCCGTCCCACCCGCTGTACCAGAGCCACAGCCCTCGGCACGGCCAGTCTCAGATCCTCGGCCTGTCGAGCCGAGACAATCCGCCCCATCTGAGCCCGTCTTCTTCTATAGTGCTGTCCCGCAGCCCTTCCTCCAGGGAGTGGCAGGCCCCTTCCCGGACCTCGTCGGTGGGGATGACGGGGGTCAGCGTGGGAGCCAAAGTGGCGGGGATGTGTGGTAAGAACCTGCTGAGGACGTGTTGCAGCGTGATCGCGGATTCGCCGCAGCCCGAACCGCCTGCGCACAACTCGCTTCCCGTCATCAAAATCCATCAGCTCTCGCTGTGTGAGGACGGGGATGCGGTGTGAAAGAGACTCACGCTGTCTGCGAACACAAACGGATGAACAAAAGCCAGACGCTTTGGGTTGAAACGATCTGTGCTGGGAATATTGAAAGCTGATGCAACGCTGTTGATGCTTATTAAAGGGACAGTTTACCATTAAATGTAAACTCACTCTGATGTTGTTCGAAACCTGTCAATTGACAGTCAGTGGATTAAAACGCATGAGGGTTTGAAGCTTCATCAGAGGGAAATGCATAATGACTTAACCCTGTAAAGCCTGAATTATAAAATCAAAACAATCTAATTGCTGTAATGGAACAGTTTACTGAACAAAATCAGAAAAAAAAGTTTGCATATATTATGTTTTATATCATATTTGATACATCAGGCTTTTATGATGCTTCTATACTGAGAATATTGAGCGCATAATTGAGGAGGGGGAAAAAATTATTCAGTGGCTCAAACTGAGCAAAAATATGCAATTTGGTCGGTGCAGATGCTGATATTTATATGACCAAAAATATTAAATGCTTGTAATGTAAATCAGTGAGATAAAATTAGGGTTGGGTATCGAGAATCGAGTATCGGAACCGAGACTAACTTTTCGTTTTTCCCGGAATCGTTCAAAAGTTAAAATTTCGATTCCTAGTTTCGATATTCACAGTCCGCCGAGCGGAAGAAGAAACAGGTGAACAACACCAACGAAGAAGCGTCTACCGGAAGTGTTGGCATAACCACGCGAGTCGAACATGAGTAGCTTACGTCGGCGATCCAAAGTGTGGCTTCACTTTTCTAAAAATAACGAAATCTCGGCAAAATGCAAAATTTGTGACAAAAGGAGTATTTTTACAGAAGGAGTATTTCCTTCAGAAAGGATTATTTCTTTCAGAAAGGCCGTTGGTTAGCAAGGTTAGCTAAACTTTTTTTGACCCTGCCTCTTAAAAGAATCGGAATCGAGAATCGTTAGGAACCGGAATCGAAACCAGAATCATTCAAATTCAAACGATACCCAACCCTAGATAAAATGCATATAAATATCAGTCATCACTCTGTATATGCCATGTAATGTCTTAATTGCTTAGTTTTATGATCAATCTCTGTTAAGTTTTAAAACATATAATGCAATGCAAAACAACAAATAAACCTTGCTCAAAAGCCTGATGGATCATATTTGAGACACATTTGAACATGATTTTTCTAAAAGGAAAATGTATGGATGCTCAAGTCAAGTAAACCGGAGTTGCTTCAGTCCAGCAAGTGTTCATCTTACAATATTACCAACAATATTAAAGTTATTCTTATTTTTATTTGATAAAAAGACACATGAACTGAGCTAAAGGGGAATGGTTTCACAGGCCTTATTCTTGCCAAAAAGTACAAACGTTCAATCAGACGACAGAAGCCATGTAGCAGATTGTGTGCAACAGGTTTTACTGATCAAGAGGCCTTAGACATTTATGATACAATAGGCTTTATAGGGTTAAACTCAGTATAAGCTATCATGTTCTTCAGAAGATGTTGAATATATAACGCACAAGTCTTATGGACTATTTTATGCTGCTTTTATTGTCTTTTTTTGAGTTTGACAAACACATTGTTTTATGTTTGAGTGAACTATTCCTTTAAAAGGAGGCAGTGCCAGTGTTTGTTTGCTCGGAAATTATGGTGGACATCATTCTGCATGGGTCTGTGATGATAAATACCAGCAATCTTTATTATTTTTATTATTGAGTGTTTCTATATATATATATATGAAAAAGAAAGAAATATTATATTTTTGACTGTTCGCTCAGTTCAGTGTCTGAAATCGCACTATACAGTTAATGGCCATGGGTTGTTTGCATTGAGTCTTACAGAAATCCCATGTCACCACGATTAATGGTAATGCACAGAAACCTTCGTGAACAGAGAATTGATCCTCAGTGTGTCTTTTTGGTATTCCTGCATGGTCACCTTATTATCTTGAGTGTCAGAAATGGCTTTCCATGTGTTTCACCGTGGGACCAACAGCCACCCTTCCCATAATTTGTGTTTCTATTACTGTGATCTGGAAAATGCACATATTTCCATGTGATATTGATCCTTGACCAAAACAATAAATATGTAATGACCTCAAAAGGACCAACTTATGTTGCTTAAATGCCTTATAACAAGTGGCACTTCTGTTAGTGTTTGTTTCTCAAATTAAAGAAAATCATGTGATTCCAAATATGGATAATATCCAATAAAACATACTGTACTGCATCATAAGTGTTTTGGGAATAACTTCTGATGAAGCGTCCCACTTTTAGCATACCATCCGGAACGACTCACCATGAGAATGTCTTCATGGGTTCTATGACATTCCAGCAGCGGACACACACATTTCCCTAGTGACGGACGGCTATTCACAATTACATGGAAATGTGTCATGCTGTATCCATCAAGGATGAGAAATAAATAAGAACTCTGTCTACTTTTAATATTTTGGGGGGTTTTGTGCCTGTGAAAGTAGACGAGAAATGAGATGATGGGGATGTTCGGGAAACGATGCAGTCTGGGTTCAAACCTGGATCTCATGGGACGCTACAGCCTTATATCAAGACCATGTGTTTTACAGTTATGACTGTATTTTTGGTTTGTTTGTTTATTTTTCACAAAATGTAATTTTTCCCGTAAGTCCACATATAATTTTAGCAAGCATGTGATTTTTCCATGTTTATACAATTTTTTTAAATTTATGAGTATATTTGGAAACGCAACACACACCAATTATCTTCCCAAATTTGTGCTAAAAACAGATTATAAATCTTTTGTCGCTGCAATTTTTCACCAAAATAAAAGTGGTCTGTCGTTTTAATGTTTGAAGGCAAAGAAATTAAGACAGTTATACAGTTAAGTATTGTAATTTTACTGTTGATCTGTAAAAAATAAAATTAAAATAAATTATTTAACAATGTTACAATTATTTTTAATCGAATTTGTACGCAATTTGTTTCATTTTAGTTTAGTAATAATAATAATTACTGTTAAATACGAAGCAGAACTACACTTTAAAAATGCTGGGTTGTTTTAACCCAATTTTGGGTCAAATACGGACAAACTCAAACAATGGATTAAAAATGTAATTTAAAAATGTAACCCAATGGCTGGGTTTGTCCATATTTGACCCAAAATTGGGTTAAAACAACCCAGCATTTTTTTTAGAGTGTAAGATTTAATAAAAAAAAATTAAATAAAACATATTTTGATTATTATTATTACAACAACAACAACAGGAAGCTGAAAACATGCCTGATCAGTCAATGATTGTTGCACCAAAAACCTCTAATTTAGTGTTTCCTGTATTATGACCATTTTTGAGCCTAATTCTAAAGCCGCTTAATATATATTCTTTACAAACACAACAATTCCGTAGAATGCTGTGGTTGTTAAGGACTTCTGGGTGGTTGCTAGGTGGTTATTTAGTCAAAAGTCCATCCGCAAGTCAGTTTGATATTCTGGTCGATAAGATATGGCTCGGGTCCCTGCTGTTTTATTTCATTGTTAGCCTGCTTTATTGTCTGAAAATCACAAGTAAGCCTAGAGATGTAATATACTTCTCAACAAGCTGCACAATTTGAGGTGTCATTCATGCCTTCATGAGTTCAGGACAAACTCTGATTTTCAGCAATAGCAATCATGAGGCTTGTCTCAGCACTAATATGGTAAACACACTGTGGACTTGTGGCATCTCAAAATGGCTGTATTTGATTTATGGCAGCGCTTAAAAAAAAGCCCGTCTACAGGAGCATAAACCGAGTCATCTGGGTAAAGTTGTTTTTGTAGAAGTAGCTAGTTGTGACTACTACAGTATATCTTCAACATCATATCAGCTTCATTCACAGCATTTCTGAGGATGGAGCATCTCAGTTCACTTCGAGTGGTGTCTCGTACCGTTAATGGCGCCTCTTTCTTTGAAGCAGACATTTATTGTACAAGCATCCTATTCACCGTCTCCCAAGCTCTTTATTCCCTGTGTTGCTATGTGGCATCAGGCCAACATTTTACTTCTAAATGTAAATTTAGTTCAGTGCAATCTAATATATCACAAAGGCATAAAATGCAGTCGGGACGCAACCATTAATACAATCACTGTGGAACTCGGCAATGCGAGAGCAGGTTTAGCAGACCTTGAGCCACTATCATAGGAGATCTCAATGTCTTAAAGAAACAGTTTAGACAAAAACGAATCAATGTCAACTTCATGATATTAAAGGTCATATGACTATTTCTTCTGTGAAACGAAACATATTTTATAGAATTTGTAATTGAAGAGTTCAGATGCAAAAGCCTCTAAATGCCATTTGAAATTTTCTTCTTTAATGATGATTTTTATCAAACTTGTATATTTAAGTTCAGTTAATTCACTTAAATGGCAATGATAATTACCTATTAATTGTTATTTAAGTGAAATTACTGAACTTAAATATACAAGTTTGATAAAAATCATCATTAAAGATGAAAATTTCAAATGGCATTTAGAGGCTTTTGCATCTGAACTCTTCAATTGTTTCTTCTTGATTCCAAAGGCAGCAAAGTCAACAATAAATAAAATAAATGTCATTCGAGACCCATTTTAATTCCATAACAACATATGAGTAAAACACAACATTCAATGAAAGAATATATCGGCCTATAATTAAATTGTAATTATTTTAAAATAATGTGTATGAAAGATTTATCCACAATGAGACTAGAGATGTTTATTTTTAAGAGTGTAAATTTGACTTCAAGTTAAACAAAAAGGCATTATAAAAGTATGTCTACAATCTTAAAATTAAAACTGATTTTGGAACATTTTTCATAGAGAGGCAATAGATCAATCATTGTTGCTTCCACAAAGAACATTTCAGTTAACAGTTCTTAAAAATTACCATTTTTTTCTTACTCTGAAGAACAGTAGGCTAGGCTATGAATAACTTTTTTGTCATTACAAAGAACGTTCCAGGTTCTATAGACGTAAAAGAGGCTATAAGTAAAAGTTGTTTTAATCTTTTTTATTGCCAATGTGCAACAGCTTGTTACGAACTTCAAAAACGAGACCTTCATCAACGAGATTGTCCATGAAAGCCTGTAGATCAAGAAGTTGTGCTATCAGGCCCTATTGGAGAGAACTCGGGACGTTTTTGGCAGGAAAATCAAAATATTGTGACGGTTAGAAGCACTCGAGAATCAATTCGTTCAATGACGCATGAAATTAATGTTCAGGATTATAACAAAAGAGCTGTTCTGTTGTAGGCTACTGTCATGCCAATGTTTTGTGCAAAGAAACATGGTTTATTCGACTAGTTCCACACAGCCAGATCTATATTCTATAAATAGCCTATAGGCTATTTTATAATCAAACTATCATAACAGTGTAATTTTGCATCTGTCGACATGATGGCGGTGCAGAGCTGGTGCAAACATCCACATCGCTATGATCAGATGTTTTCTTAACTGCTGTTTTTATTTTTTATTTTTATTTTTTTTTGAAAATCACCACATGCACTGGTTCACAAAAAACAACTTTATAT